GATTGTCCATGCAAGTTTCGGCCAAGTCCTCGTTTCCATTTATACAAATGGGTTGGGTACATCACAGGGTAATTTACTATTATTTTTCACTATCTGGGCGAACGAAACAAAATATGAAACAAATCCTCAAAACGAGTCAACAGTAGTAAACAGATCGTCCCCTGACTAACTATGTTATAAATATTCTTGAATCTACCTCCTGTGGAGGGACAGGCCCGATTCAAATCTGGCAGCTGGTGGCGGCGGCCGCGGCTCCGCGGCCGGCGCTCCGTGCAGGCAGGCAGGGCGGCCGAGGCCGAAGGAATGGGGCGGGCACGTCGGGGGCAGGCCTCTCAGGAGGAGGGCGCGGGGGGGGGGGCTTCTTAGAGGGGGGCAGGCTTCTTCGAGGGGGACACGTCGGGGGGGGTAGGCTTCTGAGAAGGGGGCGGGCACGACGTCGGGGGTGGGCCTCTCGGAAGGAGGGCGGGGGGGGGGGGTAGGGGGTAGGGGGGTAGGCTTCTCAGAGGGGGGTGGGCTTCTGAGCGGGAGAGGCCGCTTCTTGGAGGGCTGCTGACAGGGGGGGCAGGGGGAGGGGGGGTGGGCTTTTCATAGGAGGAGGCGCGCTTCTGAGAAGGCGCTGGCGCCCTGCATCCAGAGAGGAGGCCCGCGCCTTCTGAGAAGCAGGGCTGCTCTTGAGAAGCCTTCCCCCTCGCCCCTGCAGCTGGCCCGTAACATGAGGATGCGCAGTGAGGATGCAGGGCCCTTGGGCCCCCATCTCGCAGCTCCTCGCGAGGGGAGCGGCCCACGGAAGCGGCGAAGGATGGACCGAGGAGGCAAGGACAGGAGGAGGAGGAGGAGGAGGAGGAGGAGGAGGAGGAGGAGGGGGAGGAGGAGGAGGAGGAGGAGGAGGAGGAGGAGGAGGAGGAGGAGGAGGAGGAGGAGGAGGAGGGAAGGCTGCCCGTCCTCGCCATGCAAGGGCACCCTCGGGAAGGTTGCCCGTCCTTGCCGTGCGGGTCGACCGTATACCCCCCTCTGCGCGCGGCCGAGCAAGCGGTCGACTGCTTGGGCAGCTGGTGGCGGCTCCGGGCAAGAAGGCAACAGGCGGCCGAGGCGTATGGTGTTCCAGCCGACTGTAGCATTGTCACCAGGAATCATTTCGAGCACCTAGAAAGTACCGAATCTGAAGGGTTTTCACGGGTCGGGCCCTGGGAGGCGAGACTCGTTCGACACTCTTTTGATACTTTCTGGGTGCTCGAAAGTATCTCTGGGATGCGGTTGGTCCTCAAGTACGGTGGGAACAGCATAAGCCGAGGCCGAAGAAAACGCCCAGACGAAGGTTCGCAAGGTTCGCGAGGGCGAGGGGGCGCGGAAGCCAGAGAGGGAACGGAGGCCGAGGGAGGGCGCGGGGGCGAGGCGGTGAGCCCGAGCGCGCCCCGATAAAACAATAGCTCTAATTATCCTTGCGAAGGACTCAAGCAGATGCAGCTGTAGATACCGCGTTGTGGGTACCGATCTCGGGGGAACACCCACTGAGGCCACGATCCTCGTGAGGGGTGTGCCGAAATGGGCGGGGGGGCGCATGCGAACCCTGCCGCTGGGCCCTTCGGTGTAGCTCCCTATGTGGCCACGAAGCGTGTGGAGGGTGTGCTGAAATGGGCGGGGGGACGCATGCGAACCCTGCCACTGGGGCCTTCGGTGGAGCTCCCTATGGGACCACGAAGCGTGTGAGGGGGTGTGCCGAAATGGGCGGGGGAACGCATGCGAACCCAGCCGCTGGGCCCTTCGGTGGAGCTCCCTATGGGGCCACGAAGCGTGTGGGGGGTGTGCCATTTCTACCTAACAGCGAAGACTGATAGGTTTCTAATGGTGTCAAAAGAGAGCATCTTGACTCCCCAGGGGGGTCTGGGCGGGTGCCGGGGAAAACCGCGGGCGGGCGTTTCTCCTGAGACTTCCTTACATTTTACGCTGGAATCGTGCTCTCGCCTAGGCCCTGGCCACATTTTGCTTCAGAATCGCGCTCTCGCCCGAGAATTCCTTACATTTAATGCCGGAATCCTGCTCTCGCCTAGGCCCCGGCCACATTTTGCTTCAGAATCGCAGCAGGCTGACGCTGAGGCAGGCTGAGGCTGAGGCTGAGGCTGATGCAGGCTGAGGCTGAGGCAGGCTGAGGCCGCAGGACTGTGCGGGAGCGCAGCAAACAGAGGCTGAGGCAGGCTGAGGCTGAGGCTGAGGCTGAGGCTGATGCAGGCTGAGGCTGAGGCTGAGGCATGCAGGCTGAGGCTGAGGCAGGCTGAGGCCGCAGGACGATGCGGGAGCGCAGCAGGCTGAGGCTGAGGCAGGCTGAGGCTGAGGCTGAGGCTGATGCAGGCTGAGGCTGAGGCAGGCTGAGGCCGCAGGACTATGCGGGAGCGCAGCAGGCTGAGGCTGATGCTAGCTGACTGGCTGATGCAGGCTGCGGCTGAGGCAGGCTGAGGCCGCAGGACTTTGCGGGAGCGCAGCAGGCTGAGGCTGAAGGCAGGATGAGGCTTGAGGCTTGAGGTGATGCAGGCTGAGGCTGAGGCAGGCTGAGGCCGCAGGACTATGCGGGAGCGCAGCAGGCTGAGGCTGAGGCAGGCTGAGGCTGAGGCTGAGGCTGAGGCAGGCTGAGGCCGCAGGACTATGCGGGAGCGCAGCAGGCTGAGGCCGAGACAGGCTGAGGCTGAGGCAGGCTGAGGCTGAGGCTGCTGCATGAGGCCACAGGACTATGCGGGAGCGCAGCAGGCTGAGGCTGATGCAGGCTGAGGCTGAGGCTGAGGCTGAGGCTGATGCAGGCTGAGGCTGAGGCAGGCTGAGGCTGAGGCCGCAGGACGATGCGGGAGCGCAGCAGGCTGAGGCTGAGGCAGGCTAAGGCCGAGGCTGAGGCTGATGCTGGCTGAGGCTGAGGCAGGCTGAGGCCGCAGGACGATGCGGGAGCGCAGCAGGCTGAGGCTGAGGCAGGCTGAGGCTGAGGCTGATGCTGGCTGAGGCTGAGGCTGAGGCAGGCTGAGGCGCAGGACAATTGCAACACTGCAGCAGGCTGGAGGCTGAGGCAGGCTATAAGGTGAGGCTGAGGCTGATGCAGGCTGAGGCTGAGGCCGGCTGAGGCCCCATAGGACTATGCGGGGGAGCGCAGCAGGCTGAGGCTGAGGCAGGCTGAGGCTGAGGCTGAGGCTGATGCAGGCTGCGGTGAGGCAGGCTGAGGCCTCAGGACTATGGCGGGAGCGAGCAGGCTGAGGCCGAGACAGGTGCTGAGGCTGAGGCTGAGGCTGATGCAGGCTGAGGCTGAGGCAGGCTGAGGCCGCAGGACTATGCGGGAGCGCAGCAGGCTGAGGCTGAGGCCGGCTGAGGCTGAGGCTGAGGCTGATGCACGCTGAGGCTGAGGCAGGCTGAGGCCGCAGGACTATGCGGGAGCGCAGCAGGCTGAGGCTGAGGCAGGTTGAGGCTGAGGCTGAGGCTGATGCAGGGTGAGGCTGAGGCAGGCTGAGGCCGCAGGACTATGCGGGAGCGCAGCGACTGAGGCTGAGGCAGGCTGAGGCTGAGGCTGATGCATGCTGAGGCTGAGGCAGGCTGAGGCAGCATGACTATGCGGGAGCGCAGCAGGCTGAGGCTGAGGCGGGCTGAGGCTGAGGCTGAGGCTGAGGCTGATGCAGGCTGAGGCTGAGGTAGGCTGAGGCCGCAGGACTATGCGGGAACGCAGCAGGCTGAGGCTGAGGCAGGCTGAGGCTGAGGCTGAGGCTGATGCAGGCTGAGGCTGAGGCAGGCTGAGGCCGC